TAATTCTTCAATGAAAAGATACAGACTGGTGAGTTGGATTATAAAATAAGACTCAATAATTTGTTGCCTACAAGAAACATACCTCATTGGCAGAGACAAAACGGTCTTAAACTGAAAGGATGGAAAAAGATATTCCAAACAAATGGAGCCCAAAAGCAAACAGGAATGGTTATACTCATATCTGACAAAGAAAACTTCAATCCAAAATTAGTCAGAAGAGATAAAGAAGGTCACTTCATATTAATAAAGTAAGCAATCCATCAAGAGGCGATAACAATTATAAACATATATGCACAAAATGTCAGCAACCTAATTTCATAAAACAAACACTACTGGACACAAAAGCATAGACAGATCCCAACACAATAATAGTGGGTAATTTCAATACTTCACAAACAGATAGGTCGCCCAGATCAAAAAATATAAAACAAAACAAACAAACAAAAAACCAAATAAACTTCAGCATTAAATAACACTATAGACCAAATGAACTTAACAGACATCTACAAAATATTTTGCCAAACAAGCCACAGAATATACATTCTCATTAGCCAAAATAGAGTATATTTTAGGACATAAATCATCTCTTAAAAATACAATAAGATTTAAATAACTTCATTTATTTTATCAAACCAGAGTGGACTAAAACTAGAAATCTGCAGAAAATATTCCACACATGGAGTCTGAGTAATGCACTGCTGAATGATCAGCAGGTTGTTGAAGAGATAAGGAGGAGGGGAATAAAAAAACAGAATCAAAGAAAATGAAAACACAACTTACCAGAATCTTTGGGACATGGCAAAGGCAGTGCTAACAGGAAAGTTTATAGCTATGAGTAACAACATTAAAAAAATCATAGAGATCCCAAATTACCTAACGATGTACCTCGAACTCTTAGAAAAACAAGAACAAGCCAAACCAAAATTAGGAGGCAGAAAAGAAAGAGTAACATTCAGGGCAGAAATTAATGAAATGGAGACTAAAAATATACAAAGAATCAATGAAACAAAAGTTGATTCTTTGAAAAAATAACTAAGATTGACAAACCCTTAGCCAAACTAACCAATAGAAAGACAGAAAAGACCCAAATTAATGAGATTAGAGGTGAAAAAAGGAGATATCACAATAAATACCAATGAACTTCAGAGGATCATCAGGTAATATTTTGAAAATTTATATTCTAATACACTAGAAAATATAGAAGAAATGGATCACTTAGGTATATGACCTACCTAAATTGACTGAAGAAAACATCTACTACTTAAATAGATATGTAACAAGTAATGAGATTGAATCAGTAATAAACAGTTTCCCAATAAACAAGAGCCTAGGACCAGATGGATTCACTGCTGAATTATACCAAACCATTAAGGAAGAACTAACACCAATGCTCCTCAAACTATTCAATAAAACAGAAAGGCAAGGAAGACTACCAAACTCATTCTATGAAGCCGGTATTATCTTGATACCAAAACCAGATAGGGACAAAACAACAAAAAGAAAATTAAAGAGCAACTTCCTTGATGAACATAGATAAAAAAATTCTCAAAAGTATACCTGCAGACCAATTTTCTTTTGCAGTACTGGGGCTTGAACTCAGAGCCTACACCTTGAGCTGGTCCATCGGCCCATTTCTGTGAAAGTTTTTTGAGATAAGATCTTGTGAACTATTTTCCCAGGATGGCTTCAAACCACATCCTCCTGTTCTCTGCCTCCTGAGTAGCTAGGATTATAGGCGTGAACCACTGGCATCAGGCATTGCAAACCAAATTTAACATTACATTAAAAAGATCATACACCATGATCAAGTTGGTTTCATTCCAGGCACTCAAGGATGTTGCAACATATACAAATCAATCAACATATATAGCCCATAAGCATAAAAAGGATAAAAATCTCATGATCCTCTCAATGGATGCAGAAAAAGCCTTTGACAAAGTCCAGCATCTCTTCATGATAAAAGCTCTAAGAAACTAGCAATAGAAGATCATACCTCAACATAATAAAGACTGAACTTATACCCAACATCAATTGTACTAAATGGGGAGAAACTGAAACCCTTAGTCAGGAATGAGACAAGGGTGACCACTCTCTCCACTCTTATTCAATATATTGCTTCAATTCCTACCAGGAGCAACAAGACAAGAGAAAGAAATAAAAGGGACATAAAGAAGAAAGGAAGAAGTCTACATTCTACTTAAAAGACCCTAAAACTCCACCAAAAAACTCAGATCTGATAAACACAGAAAAATATCAGGATACAAAATCAACATACAAAAATCAGTAGCTTTTCTATATGCCAACAACAAACAGGCTGGAAAAAAAAAGAAATAAGGAAAACAATCTGATTGACATAGTCTAAAAAATAAAACGCCTAGGAATCAGTTAACCAAGGAAGTGAGAGAATTTTATAAATGAAAACTATAAAGCATTCAAGAAAGAAATTGAAGAAGACATTAAAGTCAGAAAGACCTCCCATGTTCATAGGTTAGGGGAATATTGTGAAAATGGCTATAATACTGAAAGCAATCTACAGATTCAGTGCAATCCCCATCAAAATCCTAATGTTATTCTTCATAGAAATAGAAAAATGAATCCTAAAATTCATAGGGAAGCATAAAAGACCCCAAACAGCCAAAGCAATCCTGAGCAAAAAGAGGAATGCTGAAGAAACCATAAGACCAGACTTCAAATTATTCTACAGAGCCACAGTAATGAAACTTCATGGTTCTGGCACAAAAACAAACATATAGGCAATGGAATAGAACAGAAGACCCAGAAATAAACACACAATTCCAGCCATCTGATTTTTTAAAAAGTAGCTAAAAACATATGCTGGAGAAAAGATAGCCTCTTCCACAAATGGAGTTGGGAAAACTGGATATCCATATGCAGAAGATTGAAGTTCTACATATGTTTATTGCAGCATATTCAAAATGGCCAAGCTATGGGATTAGCCTAGGTGTTGTTTAACACATACAATGGAATATTATTCGGCAATAAAGAAGAATGAAATCATGCCACTGCAGGAAAGTGGATGGAACTGGAGATGATCATGTGGAATGAGATAAGCCAAGCTCAGAAAGACAAATATTTTATGTTTCTGCTCATTTGCAAAATAAAGACCTAAAAACTAAAAATATGAAGGAGGACTGATGAGGGGGACCAGCAGGAGAGCAGATGGACAAGGAAAGTGTGATGGGGCAGTGAATATGACCTAAGTACATTATTTATGCATATGAAAATAGCATAATGAAATGCACTAAAAACTGCTTAGAAAGTGGAGGAGGGATAAGAAAAAGTAATAGAGGGGGTAAATTTGATCAAAGTACATTATACACATATATATAACAATGAAACTCCTTTGTACAATTAATTTATGCTAATAAACTTTTTAAAAAGATCCCTCCATTTATTAAGGAAGAGAGAGAGCACAGTTGATATCTCCTCCAGCCTTCTGGTTACCAGCTGTGCATCTTAGAAAAATAACGTAGCCTTTTTGAATCTCAGCTTCCCTTTTAATAGAATGTAGAGTAAAATACTTGGAAGATTATTGGGAGGAGGATAGAAAGCAGGTCTCCACATGGTCAAGTACTATCATGCTGGTCATGCCTTCTGCTACTTTGAAGAAACTACCCACATCAAGACAGAAAACTCTCCCCTTCTTTTCAATACGTCACCTGACATGTGATCTTCTCAATGTCTTTTCAACTTTAGTAGACTGCAGAACACTGATTCTAGACTCCTGCTGTTGTAATCAGACAGGACTTTGCACATTATCAATGTTGTACAATCCTGATAAATTAAGAAATATTCTGTCCTGGAAAATCAGCTTTAACCTCAAACACATCCACATGTCTTTTGCATCCCAAAGGAACATTAGATGTCATTGTAGTTTTTGTCAGCCAATTGATGATTCCCAAGGTCAGCTGTGGTGTCTCTGATCCATTACTTGAGAGCTGAAGTACACACACTGACTTACCTCACCTGTTGGGACCTCAGTCATGACTTCCAGGGCCCTGCTCTAAGGCAAAGCTCCCACACACAGCCCTGGTAACAGTTGGTTCCTTTTGGGGACTTGCCTGGGCCCTACCCAAGAGACAGAGAGAGACAGAGAGAGAGAGAGAGAGAACAGCAAGCACTGTAATCTCAGGTATCACAAAGGAGGTAAAATTGCTTCCACTTCTAGCCCTGGATTAGAGTCACCTATAGGGACCCTGCACCCAGGGGCAGGGTAGACAAAGACACACCCTGTGCCTCAGTTAGCTCAGGTCCTGCTCTCCTGCTGGTGCTCAAAGCCACATCTGGGTTTTGGAGCTTTCATTCCATAATCAAGCCATTGGGATTGGTGGTAGTATGTTTATCCTATGAAATTATTGTATGGAAACATAAGAAATCACCTAATGTCAATAGGATATAGTTAGGGAACATTTTATTTTTCATTACACTTGAAAATGATTTTGTTTTCTAACATGAACAGAAAAGAGAAACAGAGATTGGCAGGCAGTGCATGTTTTAGCATGGAATTCCAACATCCCCAGGCCATCCCTGTCTCAGCAGAGAAGCAGTGGAATGTTAGATGAATGCAAAACCAGGACCCAAGGCCTATGGAAGCTACATTAGGAAGACAACCTGCTACTCCAGTTCAGAAGTCCCAACCAGGCAAGGGTGCTGTGAGATTAGGGCAGGTAGTCCCATCCAAACAATGAAAGTTATTTTTAGAGTCCTATATTGGTCTCTTTTGGTTAAAAGTAAGACACATTTTAAAAGTTGGTTATGTTTAAAATAGAAACACATTTTGGCTGTGCCATTAACAGCTCTTCAAGACTGAGACAACCGCTCCCTTCTTGTTTCATGTCTGAATAAGCTTCACTATTAGGCAAGGCCCCAGAGTGGTGGCATTGGCACAGAGGAACAAACACTGCTGTTCAGACAGACTCAACAGTGAGTGAAGGAATTCAGAGAACAAGCAATTTCTCTTCTATGTTCGCAGACACCACTTAGCTCTGGAAAACAAGAAGAGGAAGAGGGCCAGGTTACTGGTTACAGTCAGTACAGCCAGATGGCTTTCTTCAGGAGTAAAAAAAACCACTTCCGTTCTCTGCCTCCTTGCTCCCTCTTTGGCTCCACTAATTACCCACTAACCTCGTGGACTGGTTACAAGTACTGTTGCAGAAAAACGATTTCTCTGCTGCTGTACAAGGTGGAGGGAGAGTTGCACTTACAAACTTTTGCAAACTTGGGTTGATCTGAAGTTCAGTCATAGCTCTCCAAAACTGTACTGCCAACCCTACCTATTTAGAAGGAGGGTGGGGCAATGTGGAGACAGGAAAGGCAGAGGAACCATATTTACTAAGCACCTTCCTATATTAACTATAATTCTCCTGAGAACTCAACAAGGTACACATGTTTAAAACCATTTTATAAATTAAAATGAGTCTCAATTTATCTAAAGTAATAAATTATAGAAGTGAAAGTCAAACCCTGACTACTGATTGCAGAATCCTGGTTCTTTTGACATTGTACTGTTTTCCACATTGAGGGGTAAAGATTAAATTTCTAAAACTGCATTTATCCTCACCCCCAACATCCGCACATGCTCCTCCTTCCTATGTTCCTTTATTTACATTTATACTATGGACTGAGCATCCCTAACCCAAAAATCTGTAATCTGAAATGCTCCAAAACCAGAAAATTTTTGAGCACCAACATGAGGCCAAGAGTGGAAAATTCCACACCTGACTTCATGGGATGTCTGACAGTCAAGACACGGGTACAGGAGAAACATCGTATAAAATTACCCTCAGGCTGCATACGAGGTGAGTATGAATAAGCACGTATTCCGAAATCCAGAGACAATTGAAACCTGAGGCACTTGTGGTCCCAAGCATTTCAGATAAGGGATACTCAACCAGCGCTACTAACTGCCCAGGCTCTGGGGTCCACTTTTACCCTAGAGCCAATCATTTTCCCAGTCTCATCAGTTATTCTTTAAATCCATTCCAGGCCCTCATTATTTTCCTGTGGCTCCTTCTTCATCTCCTGCAATCCATCATTGGACAGTAATTGCAAGAGTGACCTTTCTGCCAAGACAATTATATGTCACTCCAGTTTCCACTTTTGAACCAGTCTACCCTGCCTACGGGATGATGCATGAGGCCACTAACAGGCAATAGGTGTGCTCGTATATGCCTGCAATGCCAGCACTTGGGAGGCTGAAGCAGGAGGATTACCAGTTCCAGACGAGCCTGGGCTACAAAGCAAGACTCTGTCTCAAACAAACAAATAAAAATTAGACCACAGGACCGAAAAACCAAGAAAACTAGCCTACAGAGAGAGAAGGCAGCCGGAAGAAAGGTCATGATGAATAGGTGGGAAGGAGGGTCACATGGGTCTCCTGGGACTTTCCAGGCTCTTAGGCCTGGCTGTCTTCAGATTTTAGGGCATCTATCCAATCAATTCCTTTTATCCTCCAAACCTGAATTTGAGTTGAAGCTCTTCTAGATCTGCTGCCCACTTTGCTGTCTCAGCCTGTCCCCTACCTCCAGACATTCTACACTTTAAGGGAGGCACTCAGGGCACAAGTTAGACATTTTGTGTATCCTGTTCTTCCCCTTCCCACTCTGGGCTGCTGAGCTCATTTTGATACTTAAGGGAAATTGGAAGGATCGCCCTCAGGAATATATGACCACTAAGCCACAATCATTCTGAATTGTTACATTGTCCCCTTTTTTGCACTACAAATTCCCTATCAACCAGTACCAAGCACAGAATCTGGTACACAGTAGACACTCAACTACTCTTGAATGTATGTGGACAAAGACCTTGGATTCCCTGGTCTGTGGGACGTGCTGTGCTAGAGGATTCTATCCCCATTAGACACAGGCTTTAATGGAAAGCTTTCTAAACATATTCTATACTCTTTTTGGGGGTGGGGCAGTACTGGGGTTTGAGCTCAAAGCCTTGTACTTGTTAGGGAGGTGCTTTACCACTTGAGCCATGCCTCCTTCCCTTTTTGCTTTAAGTTATTTTTCAGGTAGGGTCTCTCGTTTTTGCCTGATCCACATAGTTGGGACCACAGACATGTACCACCATGCCAGGCTTATTTGTTAAAGATGGGGGTTCACTAACTTCTTGCCTAGGACTGGCCTTGAACTATGATCCTCCCAATCTCTTTCCGGGATTACAGGCAAGAGCCACCATGCTTGGCACATGTTGTATACTTTTACAGTGTTTAGACAATTTAATACTTCTCTTGGTGGATGAGCCACACTCATGAAGTTAATGTTTTACTGTGAGTTATGTTCCTGGGATTTTTTTTTTTTTTTTTTAGATGGCACTGGGGTTTGAGTTCAGAACTTCATACTTGTTAGGCAGGACTCTTACTGCTTGAGCCACTCTGCCAGTCCTGTGTGTGTGTGTGTGTGTGTGTGTGTGTGTGTGTGTGTGTGTGTGTGTGTGTGTAATGGGTTGTATTTTGAGTTAGGGGCTCGTGAATTATTTGCCCAGGCTGGCTTTGAACTTTGATCCTCCTGACCTCTGCCTCCTGAGTAGCTAGGATTACAGGCGTGAGCCCCTGTGCTTGGGCTGTCCCTGGGATTTTTGATGTACATAGAGGTGTTTGCTAGCTGCAGTTCTGTAATTACAGAGCTATCGTTATCCTGCTCAGGTTGGCATTTTAGCAATTTGTACCTGTGTGTAACAGCTGCTTTCATTCATCATTCATCTACACACCCTTTAACCTGATGATTCTGTGGCTTTAAATAATATGCAGAATACCTTCTCTATAGGTCAGAACACAACATGAGGGATGTCTTGCTGGTGATAATTCATCACCCAGACCGGTTACAAATTCTTTTTTGGGTGGTTTAGGCTAATAATCAGAGTCGGATAAACAGGGTGTTAGCATAATGCTGAAGAATCATGTTTTTTTGTTGTTGTTTTTTAAAATATTGTAGTCTTTATTCTAAGAGGCCTGTATAGCTATCCTTATCTCAACCAGCAAAAACCCTTGTTCCTTCCTATTATTGCTTATACTCTCTCTACAACAAAATTAGAAATAAGGGCAAAATAGTTTCTGCTGGGTATTGGGGGGGAAGGAGGGGGCGGAGTGGGTGGTAAGGGAGGGGGTGGGGGCAGGGGGGAGAAATGAACCAAGCCTTGTATGCACATATGAATAATAAAAGAAAAAGGAAAAATAAAATAAAATAAAATATTGTAGTCTTTATTCTAAGAGGCTACAAGCACTGCAATAATATTTTTTCTGCAACAATAATTTTTCTTGCAACAGTAAGATTTTCACTGCCAGCTAGAAAGTGTGCCTCCAAAAGAGGATGGAGATGTGCTCTCTTGATCCTCACACCTTTTAAGATGGGCAGCAGAGGTTCCCTGGCAAATCCCACCTGCTTGGCCCAGGCATGTAGGGATACAAAGCCAACACCTGGGGGGAGATACTTACTTGAGCTCTGGATGCTAACTTGGCTACTGTCCGGGCTGGATCAAAGACATGGCAAGAAGACTGATACTTGCAGAAATTAATATGTTGCTTAGCAATTGGTTTCATTAAACCTCTTCATACAATATGGGCAATGAATGTAATCTGCATGTAAAGATAACAACAAATGACAATCAGCATTTCAAAACCAACTATGGAACTGACTATATGAAAAAGAAGAAATAAAAGATGTACTCTGCTCCAATGAGAAATAATCAGCTCCAAATTCTGGTTTAGGGCAGCCTATTCTAGAGGGGAAGGTGGAAATAAAGGACATGGCAGGGAAAATTTTTACTTGTTCCAAGGAACTCATTCCAGTTAAGAGTGGGCCTCTATAATGTTTGCACGATATTTTTCTTAGAAATACATTAATTATACTTAGGACCTTCCCAATTAAATGGATTCAATGAACCCTTTGTAAAGAAAGCAATTCTAAGGTGGGAGTGGGGACACATGTCATAAAGCAGCTACCTGGGAGGAGGAGATAGGGAATATCACAGTTCAAGGAGAGCTTGGGCAAAATGTTAGTGAAAGCTCATATCCCCATATTGAAAAACAAGCCAGCTGTGGTGTTTGGCACCTGTGATCCCAGCTACACTAGAGGCGTAGGTAGAAGGATCAAGATTCCAGGCCGACCTCGGGCAGAAGTAGGAGCCCCTAGCTGAAAGATAAAGTGGAAGAGTTTGGGGGTGCGACTCAAATGGCAGATACCCTGTCTCACAAGCACAAGGCCCTGAGTTCAAACCCCGGTGTTGCCAACAGGAGAAGGGCTAGATTTTTTTCACTTTACTAGGAGGTAAATAATACGTTAATGGTAAAAGGATAAAAGGTGCTAGGTGGTCAAAAAAACTGAAGAAAGGCCAAGGAAGGGTGACAGAACAGTAGCTTCAGAAACAGCTTCAGCTTCCCACGATGCAGGTCCCAGGTGGCTCCCTTCAGCCCTAGGTCCTCTATAGTTCTGTCAAATACCTTTTCTGTCTACATTTTTCTTTCACATGCAATTACCAGACATAATTGGCTAGTGAGGGATGTGGGAGGTAAGAAAGAGTCAAGGTTGCCTTAGAATGCAGGCTGCTCCCAGCAAAGCTGGGTTGGGGTCGGCTCCTCACTAAGCAGGCAGGGATTACGGATAGCTTTGTTTTCACTCATGCACTTTTAAGGGATAACGAAGTGGATTTGAGTGACATAAAAGAACTTTCCCCCTAGAAAGGGTCTAAGACTCCATCAGCCTTAAAGAATGAACCTTAAAGAATGAAGTTCAGATTAGTGCATAGTCAAAATTCCTCCATGTATGTTAGATAGTTAATGCAGTGAGGTCGTCCAAGTGTAGAGGTTTTAATAAGCCATTTCTTTGAGCAGTATGGGGAATTTTGTACTTGAACAAATCATTTCCTACAAATGAATACTCCTAAAATGTAAGAATTTCAAGTACTTCAGAATTACCTGGTAGTCTTCCCTTTTATTTCACATTCTGGAAGGCAGTACTTAATCATTAATTTAACACCTGTGTAGCCCAGGCTGTAGGAGCGGAGAGGCGATGTCTCTGCAATCAAGGAATAAGTGTTCTAATGCAGAGACAAAAAATAAAAATCTCACATGGTGAGGAATGCCTTAAAAAAATAAAGCAAAGCCGGACAGCATTGAGAAATGATGAAGAGCCTAGGTTCTGTAACCTGTCTGACTGGTTTTGAGCCTGAGTGCTTCCCTTGCTGTGTGTAAGCTTGGGCAAGTTACTCCAGCTCCTTAGGTCTCCATCTCTTCAGCAAGCACATCACCTGTATCATTTGTTTCATCAGGTTGTTGTGAAAGTTAGCGAGATAATCCACATGAGGGTGTGGCCCAGCAGGAGTGGCAGAATATACTGAGAACGTTATAAATGCTAGCTGTTGCTGTAAGGAAACAGACCCAGCAAGGTTATATTTCCAAGTACCAAGCAGGAGAGCAAATGCTTAGAGAGAACTTAAATAGAAAGGGCCAAGATCACTCAGAGCTCATTTATGATGCTGTAGGAAAACCATCTAGAATCCGGTGCTCAGTTTGGTGATTATTGCCTTAGGTCTTTCATTTAGAAAGTCAAGTCTTATACCACAGATGCTGCTACCAGAACCCTGGTCAGGTCAGGCAAAGTCCATGGCCATGCAGTGCTGAGATACATCCGCCTGCCGTTCATCCATTACCATCCTTCCGTGTATGCAGCAAGTCACGACAGAGGCAGCAATGGTTCCCTGCCGCAAGCATGTCAGAGAATCATTTCAGAAGATGCACACCTGTACTCATAGCACTGGAAGACTGGGACAGGAGAATCATGAGTTTGAGGCTGCCCTGGGCCACACAGCAAGACAAAAAACAAAATAAAACTAACAAATTATCAGAGATGACAAGACAAATAGACAATTAGACATTTGGAGGAATAAACTGTGAGAATCAGGACCACTAGCACAGGGTCCACAGGAGGAACGTGAGCCTAGCTGTAAGGGGAAGGGTCAGGTGAGGAGTTTGTGGCTGAGCATTCAGGATCGCTGGTAGCATTTGTTTTGAACTTCATATGCTCTGAGAGTGGAAAATGATTTTTCTACAGCAATCATTTAAACATGGCATGAGTAAGCTCCACGTGCTTCCCTATCTCAGTCAGAGTCACCTCTCTTCCTCTATCAATATTGCTTTCAAAAAATCATATTCCCTATTTATTTTAGCAGACAGTATTTTCAAAAGTCAGACCATAAATGGATTTTTATGAGGAATATGGTGAACAGATCTCATATAAAATTAAAATAGAAAAAAGTATAATTTTATTTTGCTTGTTCATTTATTGGTGTTACTGGGGCTTGAACTCAGGGTATGGCACTTGCTAGGCAGGTGGTCTATCACTTGAACCAGTTATTTTTTGCTGTAGTTATTTTTGGGATAGGGTCTCATGCTTTTGCCCAGGACTGGCCTAGACTACTGGGATCATAGGTGTACACCACTGTACCTGGTTTATTGATTGAGATGGGGTCTTGCTAGCTTTTTGCCTAGACTGGACTCAAACCATGATCTTCCTGATTTCTGCCTCCCAAGTAGCTGAGATTACAGGAAGGTCTACTGCCTACTTGAATAGGCCACCATGCCTACTCAAGCATCATTTTAAAATATAAACATTGTACTGAGACTCCTACGTAGTTATATGAAATGGTGACTAAAGATCCCAGGTCTCACAGAATAATCCCAATTATAAACATTATATGTCACTGTACCTATAAAGTGTTAAAGCATCCTGGAAATTTGATCATCAGCAAACTTGATTAAGTCAGTAAGAATAAATATATACATGTCATGGAAACAGGAAATCATGCTGAAAAAAACAAAAAGAAGGGCTAGAGGTATGGCTCAAATGGTAGAGTGCCTACCTAGCAAGCACAAGGCCTGTAGTTCAAATCCTAGTACTGCTGAAAAAAGGAAATTACTTGCAAACTCATGCATGTTAGGCCATATTATATAGACCTCTAGTTATACATGCATATACATTTTCTAGTACTTAAGACAGAGACTACAGGCTAATATAAAATTCCTGCATAATCAAAATAATCAAATTGTGGTAAAAATGTGCTAGTATAATCATTTTTACTTGTTGCATAAAATTACAGTTAAGTGCACAGGAAAGAATTTAATTATAAAGCTGTATTTCAGCATAAAATCTGAAAGGAAGAAAAATTAATTGAACATGGATGAGGCCTTGCAAAGGGAATTTTATTTTGGAGAAACAATAATCCACACATCTTAGATCCAACTTGGTAATGAGAGAAATTCACACAGCACAACCTCTGACATGGTTTCACTTATTCAATTAAAAAACCACAAGGCAGCCATCAACACGGCAGCTTCTGATCTTAAAATGAGGCCATGTCTCAGAAAAGATGTTTTTTATTCTATGGCACTTGTTGTCAACGTACTTGTGCATTACTAAAACCACAGCCACAAATGCTTCTCCCGAACATTCCAAGACAACACATTATTTTAAGCTACATTTTCATTAGTGCCCTCCCAAATTAGAGCAATTATGAAAGTTACTTTCTGGTAGAGAAGTTCAGATGATTTGGTTTTTAGATGATATTTTATAGTATGATTACACTGCAGCTTTTTGCTTTTGCATTTTTTCAAATGGACTTTTTTTGGGGGAATAATTTTATATACAATAAAATGCATCTATTTAAGTGAACAGTTCAGTGAGTCACGACGAATGTATACATTTGTGTAACCACCCCAATTAAAACGTAGACTTTCCACCACCCCCACATTTCCTTCAGGCCCATTGCTGGCAAGGTTCCCGCAAACTCAGTCGCAGGCAATCACGGATCTGTTTTCCAGCCAAGTACTGGTAACTTTTATTTGTTCATAATTTCACATAAAAGGACAGTCATGTTGCTACATAAAAAATACTACTTCCTTCTTTCTGTTGACTACCATTCCATTCTGTAAATGCTCCACAATATTTTTATCTATTCACTTCATGGTGGATATCTTTAGGTTTTGTCCTTGCTGGTACTGAGGTTTGAACTCAGGGCCTCACAGTTGCCAGGCAGGTGCTCCATCACTCGAGCCACAGCCTCAGCCCTTTTTGCTTAAGTTATTCTTCAAATAGGGTCTCGTCTCATGTTTATGCCTGGGCCAGCCTGGACCACAATTTTCTATTTAGACTATTTGCCTCATGCCCAGCTCATTGCTCAAGATGGCGCCTAACCTTTTGCCTAGGCTGGCCTCAAACCTTGATCCTCCTTATCTCCACTTCCTGAATACCTAGGATCATAGGTGTGAGTCACCATGCCTGGTTGACATTTTTAGTTTTTTTTTCAAGTTTTTGCTATATGAATAAGGCTATGAATATTTATGTATAAGTTTTTTATGGATATATTTTTAGTTTTTGCATAAACATCTAGAAGTGGAATTACTGTACAGGTTAAGTGTATGCTTAATTTAAGAAAATACTGGTGCAAAGTGGTTGCACTATTTTACACTCCCATTAATAGTCTTTGAGACTTCCAGTTGCCCCACTTCCTAGCCAATGCTTGTGTCATCAGTCTTTAATCTTAACCATCCAAGTGAGTGTGCATGGTATTTCATTGGTTTTA